GGTGGGTGAGATTTTCTCGGTTTTCCTCACTTGTATGTCAAATTGCACTATCAATCATTTTTAGGTAAGTCGCCCGGGAGCGTCACAGCAAATAATAATAATAATAATAATAGTCTTTCCTTCCCCTACACAAGTCGCCCAGTCGGCTTCAGGGATTGAAATTCACTTGTAAGAGGGTGAATAAGGAAAAAAATTATTATTAATTATTATTACTAGAAAACACAGATTATGACACCTCCTGTAGACCTTTATTTATAAAACACAAAATTCTACCTATGCCGTTGGTGTAGATTTTGGAAACACAACGATACATGATAAGCTAAATATATTAACTGCTCATTCTGACACGCACGGTTACATGTTCAAGAGTTTGTACAAGCAAAAACATTAAATTAGATATTAGATTTAACAAATTTTTAACATTACATCAAGATATTAAGGTTAAGAGTTTGTCTAAAAGTAGGTTTCAAAATATTACCAAATAATGCTTACTAAAATATTGTTTTTACAGTATCGAAGAATATCTAAACATTTCTATGTAAATATGTTTTAATTTTTTTTTGTATTCGTTATACTTTCTATACTAGTTGATGTAAGATTTTAATCCAATGTACTGTGAAAAATATGTCTTAAATTGACTATATATTTTTTAATTTCTTATTATATTTATTATAGTTTCTATATTAGTTGACCTAGTTGTCAAATATACATGTCTGTTCCTTATTCTTACGTATCTGCTCCCGATCCAAAGCTGTTATATTTTGATTTAAGATGCAATTTAAAGAAAAAAATAATTGTTTATTATTTATGCTTCTTAGTTAAAAGTTTCGTATTAAACAATTAATAATTTTAGATGGAAAAGCTGCAATAATTAACCAATTACACAATAAAAGTACACTAATTACGTGTAATTTAATTAACAAGTAAAGTACGTTTAACGTTACAAAATAAATTAATTTAAATTATAGTTAAATTGTAGTATACAGTGTTCGTAATTAGTTTTTACAACATTAATTAAAACATAATATATATTTGTAAATTCTTCTGCCGTCAGTCATGGTATACACCCGACACAGCCATTTGTTCAAGTCGACATGTGGTCTGTGATCTTGGTCAAGAGTATTCATCTGTATGTCTAAAATCACAAAAAAAGTTTTTAACGACTACCATTTACACGTATAGTTCTTAAAATTGCTACTCAACTCATCGAAAATGTATGGAATTATATAAAACATCCTATTATACATTTAAAATGTTCTTTATTTATTTATAAAAGTATCGATTTGTCTTTCAAGATTGTTGTATCTGAATGACAGAATTCCCGTCCTTGGTAAAGTGGTAATTCATTATTTTTATATTATCGTATTATTTTCAGATCTGCTTATATTTATAATTTTACAATTAGGGTTATTTCCAGATTTGCGACAAATTCGGAAATTATTTTTTTTATTTTTTTTTTAACTAATCGAATCAGCCTCGTATAGAATAATCGCTTTGTACCTAATAAACAAATCAGTCGTAAAAGATTTACTTAAAAATGGCCAATGACAGTCAGTTAGTAAAGTTTTTGATGGTCCAAAATCAACTTTAGTGCTGCCTCACCTCGAGAAGAAGTTTTATAATTTGAATGAGGAAACTGTTAGAAATATTTGATGTAGTCCTTGGGTCTTATATCAGGAATTGTTGAGGTTTAATAAATAATGTTATTAAAGCAAATTGATGGGCTTACCATATAATCAATACTCAGCCATTGAACTTAGATTATTCAATTTTATCATCAATTTATTTGTAGAAATTCAGTCGGAAACGGAAGTCCAGCGACTTATCAAAGAGCGTTATCATTTTTGTGTCTTTGTTGCCGTACACATAGTTTTTTTTGACAAATGTATGTATTCACACATGCGTGAAACAAATGAATTCTGCAATAACAAATGAGTTAGCACCGGAAGTCTCTAATGGCGTATTATGGTTTATATACCTTGTGGAGGTATTGATGAGTTCATAGACGTAGAATGTAATTTAGAAATATGGTACATTACATTACAATTATTAAAACATAACTATGTATGTATACTTTACAAACTTTAGAAATATTGTAAAACATCGATAAGGATTGAAACGCCATTTGTGAGTTCATTTTTCACACAACCTATCCAATGAATTCAGTATCCCATAAGAAATTGTAACTATTGATGAAATTTTTATATGAAAAATATACATAATGTGTTGAAAATTATAGGATTTTTTTCTAAATAAAGAAGCCATTCAGAAGCATTTTTAAGGCAATATTTACAACAGAATTGTTATGTGAAACAAAAAAGTAGAAATTAAATATTTTAATATCGCAACTGGAAGCACTTTATTAATATTATTTGTTTTGAAAATAAATATACCCTGTACGCCATTGGTTTATGTATTTAAATGTGGCGTTGCCAAGTCCATTAAAAATCATGAATATTCCATTGCTAATTACGAAAAAGCATGTAATTTAACCAATAGATTATAGAGTGTGGAATTTACATTTATACTGATTTGTATTGAAAAAAAATATCGCAACAGGAAATAATGGCATCGTCAACAAATTCACACATTTCTAAAATTACTCTGTCTGATCCGAAGCAATACTATTTTAAATTGATTAAAGTGGTTTCGTATCTTAATGCATTACTGTGTGTTTTTTACCATATTCGATATTTTACCATTTCTGTAAAAATGTATCTTTCTTTTCCAATTCCCAATAAATATGCAAAAACATAATTTTTTTATTCTGAATTATTTACCCACTTGCCAGTTTTATTCCTATTGTCTTATTGAAAATGTATTTGGTTTTTGGCTTACTTATAACATTTTTTTTTATCTTATATCCATATGGCTTGAATTGTCTGTTTTATAACTCACTCAATACTTTAGCATATTGTTATGTGAGCCATTTCATTATTCAGTCATGCTCTAATCCTCCAAGTCTCTCTCTCTCTCTGTCTTATTTGGCCTTTGAGTCATCGTGATAATATTTCTGGTCTATTCCGGATATGAGATGTTTTGGTGGAGGAGCATTCTGGATCACCAATTTGTATATAAATATTGGTGGAGGATCAACGAAAATCAGTTATTACATGGACAGTGCAGATGAATAGTGAACAGTTTAAAGACATTCGAAATATATATATATATATATATATATATATATATATATATATATATATATATATATAAATTAGAATAATAATGTTATAAAATAAATAAGTGTTTAAATAAATTATTAATAAATAAACAGTTTTTTTAAAATAAACGAACATCACAATATTTACCCCTACGGATGCAAAGCGATGATTTTCAAGTGTACATTGGTTATATACTTTAATAAGAGCAGAATAGAACTGGAAGATAAAGTGAAATAAATAGAAGAAAAAGAGCACGTATATACATGAATATTCAGAATTCCTATAATTCTTATGGCAACAATATTTATTGTATTACCAGGAATGATTCTGTTAGAGTTTGAAAAAGACTAATGTATGAATCTGGAAATGATCGTAGACAGCAGGTGTAATGAAGAAACGGAAATTAATTAAATGATAGTCAGAAGTGTACCGGCGGCTAAACAATTATTACTGTTAGACTTACATCATACAAGAATATATAAGATTATATTATCGTAAACACTGGTTAAATTTACAAAAAGTGGGCGACAACGCGAACAAATTTTGGAAGAGGAAAAGTCTTACAAGGACATTTAAGTATAAGCATGTAGACAACTGAGACAAAAACTATAGTGAACGTGTAGGCATACCAAAAAGAAACAGAAAAAACAGACCTAACAAAAAGAGGATAGAATAAGTTTACAACAATTTAAAAGAAAATGTGGGAAGCTATTTATATGATCGTCATGTTGATATTCTTTACATAAGCATCATAACTAATATGTATAAGGAAATAAGCTGATAGTTTTAGCTAAACCAATGTTCTATTGGGTTAAAAATCAGCGCGGCTGCTGCTCGGTCCATTTTACAAAACTTTAATCCAACATAAATTGCAAAGAGTTTTGACCTAGAAACGTCTATAAATCAAAAACTATCACTTGTGACCATAGACATTTACTCTTTATTTCAAATGAGCAAAAAAATAATGAATGATAAAACAAATTTAACAATTAAATGTTATTCCTCGGAAAGAATTAGTAGTATTATGTAGGTATTTTCGCTGGTAAGTAAATATTACGGGTTTTCAGAAGAGTGGACACCAGTCACATGCTGTTTGGAGTATGAGAATGTTAGACTATGACGTTAGTAATTTTTGATGTTAATAAATTATATTATGAATGTAAAAATACCAACAGATGATTGGTTCAACAAGTAATTCTTCAATCGAGTAAAACTTCAAAACGGGGGAATTCGAAAATTAAGAAAAATATTCAACATATTTACTGATTATATATTAATGACGTATATGTAAAGTAGCTGGAAGAAATGTCCTAAATATTTAATTTAAATTAAATAAATTAGCAGAATGCACTTTTGGTGATTTTCAAAATTGGCAAGGTCTTCAGTAGGTAATTTTTAATCCACTTTTTTTAAAATGTGTTACACCCACACTGCCCTTTTCATCCTTTGGACCGTGTCGCGTTTGTGAGGACCAAAATAAATTGTAGAAGAACGAATTTTTACTATTCCATTTGTAAGCTGGGTTATTTTTACACAACTTCGACTGTTTGAGGAGAGATGATAATACATTTATAAATAAATGAAACACGTGAATCCACGACAGTTTTCACACAAATATTTTCGTAGGAATGTCGAATCACATTGCCGATAAATTTAATGATAAGGAATAAAACATTTGTCGTAATTAATATCTTTATTTATAACGTTTCTGATGTTTGATCTTCTAGAACCTTCCATTTAATTCATTTATTAATTTCTGAGAGTTAAACTAGGTGTATGGCATATTAATCAGAAACGGGGCAGTATATCTAGAACAAAAGCTAAACAAATTCTACTCACTTCTTTATCTTTGGTAGCCATTTCATTTTCAAAACTTTGCCTGTCCATGTTTGATGTGTCTTTGTTTTCGCAGTTGTTCGATGTATTTGTTCCGGAAAGTTGCTCCTTTAACGTAGTTACTTCTTTCTCTGCTAGTGTCGCTCTCTAAAATAAAAACAAAAACTGTCAGCGCTAAAGTAAACGATAAAAATTTGTTTCTGCTTCCAATGATTCTAAATCATTTTATATATCATACAGAATATACAAGGTACACGTATATTCGACCGACAACGTTCTACCCCAGACAGTCCTCGTTAATTTATGAATTTTTATATAGACACATGAACCCTTAAATGGTTAGTTACCGAGATACAGGGTGTTAAAAGTTTTACATCAAAATTCAAAATTTGCTAAAAATTAAAAACGCCTTTAAATGGCTAAAACAGTTTATATATCATAAAGAATATACAGGGTGTTAGTATATTCGACCGACAACGATCTAGCTCAGATAGTCCTCATTAATTTATTAATTTTGATTCTATAATCATAAATCCTTAAAGGAGAGACATAGGGTATTAAAAGTTTAAATAAAAAATTTGAAATTTGCTAAAAATAAAAAACACCTTTAAATATATTTTTTTTTAAATTTGATTTACCAAGTTCTTGTTAAATCACGAACTATTAAAAATTTGACACGTGCCTACTCGATCAAAATTTAGAAATAATGGGTAGTTACAAATTATCTAAGTACTTATCGACGTTTGTTTAGAAGCAAATTTCTACAATATCTTTCATTTTAGCTCCATAAAAGTTAATGATTTTTTTAAATAAAAATGAGTCGAGAAAAAATAAATATTTGTTGTAGTGGTGTAAAAAATAGGAGGATAAAAGTTGCCACTAACCCTGATAGATTTAAAATTATGTGAAGTTTATTTACATGATATTTCAGACGATTTGGTTGAAGAGATTTTACACCTCTGGAAGTATTTGGCACTAGAAGACAAAAAAACATGCAAATATCAAAAATATGTGCAACTGGATTAAAGCTCGGAATCTGCTTGATATTTTTTGTAATATTTCGATAGTTTTATGAATCAATAGCAGTAAGCAATTGTTCTTATTTGCGCCGAAGTATGTCCGAAAGCAGTTTAAAGAATTTACTAGTTTTATTAATTAAATCTGACACTGTAAATTCGATTTCATTTGACGACGAAAAGTGAAATGTGGGAGAAAAAACGAGATTTTTATTTAGTTAAATATCTCATCAAACTAGAAATTAGATAGATCCATTAATAATAGATGATTTCAAATAATCCAAGTCTGCTACCCGTATCATTAACATAGGTACAGTTCACTGTGAAACACCCTGTATAAATTATGATACTATATTTGTATTTTTGGGAAGAAAAAGTATCCATTGATGAAAATGATGGCAGGTTTTCATCTAATAAATACGGCATATCGATTTTTTTCTTTCAAACAAATAACATTAAACTTAACCAAGGAACGACATAAACTTTTATGGGTTTTGTGGAATTCCAACTTTCCTGAGCAATATCTGAGGAAATTATCGAACAGATCTTACAATGTTGTTATATACAGTTCGTACGCATTTAACGATTGTCTACATAAAAATGAATACCTTACCGTTTTATTGGTACAAATGGGCATTTTTCGAGTAGTTGAAATATAAATCTTAATTTTCAGTACAGAGTTTCATGCAAGTCTACCTTCAATAAAAATGTTTATATCTTGTTTCCATTGAAATTTAAAGTATAATATTATTTATAACTTTTTCTTGTGTCTCCCACCCGTATGTTACATTACTCGGTGGTCCTAGCTTCAATTATTCGACTTATTTCATGTAGCCTTCAAATTTATTATTCTGTTAGTACTAATTATTGACATTTTCTCTGTAGAATTTTTTTATTCCTAATTTTAAAGGTTTATTATAAATTATACGTTCTTAATTGACCACTCTGTATAAACTGCTGCTTAGGAATTAAAACACTATGACATAATAAACAGTCCTTTACAAAATTAATAGATACTCATGTCTTTCTTAGTGGCTATATGCTTGCTTTTATCGAAAATAAATATAGACAATCAACCGCAAAGGAGGAAGTTGATAAATACATGTATACCAGTAAATGGATTAGAACTTATTTAATTTGATTTTAATAATTCTTAATATATATGGATATGTTTACTAGGATCTTACAAAAAGTAAACGCATGCTCAAAGGACAATCGTTGAAGGGAAAACTAGGTATTATACATTACAACACTCACAATGTGTAAAATCTTTATGCTACTCTTTTTTACATAAAAAAATAACGACCAACGACGAACAACTACTAGACTAATTTTGTTTACAAAATCGAATTGCAAACACTCACGCTGTTATCCACGTAGTTGTCAAATTATTATGAGAGAATATTGGAGAGTCTTGTTACAAGGATTATTTAAGGTTATAATTCGGAAGTGACTTAACATAAGGCTGTAAAGAGCACAAAAGACTTTTAAAATTACATAAGGGAAGTATATTTGCATTCTTAATGCCAGTTATTATCAGTAGTAATGTCCCAAGGACAGTGATAATTCATAATTCGAAACCACTTTGCTTAAGGTATTTGAAACAAAATATGAGTATTTTTCACTGGCCGAGGGATATTCGGTTATAAAAGTAACTTACTAGCTAAATTCCATAAGGTTTTGACTGTACATTCCATAAAAAGTTTGACTGTACATTCTTGAAAGTCGGTACCATCTTTTTTCTCATATTTACTACCCAAACCTTTAGTACATCAATATCTTCTTTATTATTTTACCAAATCGAAACATTTTGAAAATTGAAAGTGCCAATTTTTTTATAAATGTCATATTTTAAACCTGGTTTACATTCGTATTAAATACTGATTGATAATGAAATAGAAAATAGTAAAAAGTCATGAATTACTGTCTACTGTGAACCTTTTTAATAAATAATTATTAAAACAGTTATTAGACAAAACGTCCAATTTTGAGTTTTATCATTTAGCGGAAGTCAGAGCTGAATGGATATGCTGATGCACGTGACTGAAAATTAACGATTTTATTTGGTTTTCTAATTTCTATTGATGCCAGAAATTTTCAATGCAATGTATTTTTCTCATTTCAACTATTATAGTTGAAAATTTTTTCTCAGGAAAGTATGCAAATAATTTTAGAGTATGACAGCAGTGTGCATAAATATTGATTGGTTCATAAACAGAATGCTTCTTCCTCAGATAAACAGACTTGCACAAACCATACATACTCATATCTGCGTAATATAAAACCTATTCTGAATGATTGCAATAAATAAGGGCTTAATTATGAATGAATGGATTAGTCTAGTAGTTTCTTGTCATTGGTTACGACAAAAAAAAAAAGACAGAACAATACAGTTTAAACCTATCAGATCTGAGCTTCCCAAGGTAGTGTCCTTGACCCTTTGCTCTACTTCATATGCATATCTGGCCTCCCCACCTCTAATTATACAATAATAGTCACATTTGTTGATGACACAGTCATCTTGGTAATCAACAAAGATTCAACAGTTTTATTCTCTAATCTACAAGAACATCTTTTTCAGTTAGTATGTTAGTAATAGGGTTTCAAAAGAGGAAAAAAATTAATGAGAGCAAATCACAACACATAACATTCACGTTAAAAAAAAAACAAAAATGTCACCCATTCAACATTAAAAACATAAAAATCCAACAGAAAGGCTTATTTATTTTTATTTTACACTAAATGTATACAGGGCAAGTTAAATTCATTATACAAACGGTTATAATACAAAATAATACATGTTAAAAAATTATAAAAAATATTAAAAGAATAGTTACACATAGTTTCAAATTCAAAAATATAACGAAGCATGGACTCAAAAATGGGAGAGACTCTTAAATTTTAATATTGAATAGCCGTAGATAATATATCTCCTGCCATTAGTGATATCAAATCGGAACGGTGGCGTAGGTGTCTAAGGCGCTCTCATTCATTTGCGAGCAATTTTGTTGCTTCGAATCCTACCGAAGACCATGTGAATTTATTTGCATGGTTCTCTATAGGATTTGATGGATGGCGTAATATCAGAAATTCAATTTCTGTTAATATGACATCCAGATTATAAGAATCGCCATGCGTTACCATTTACATAATAGTGGGTGGGGTTTTCCTCACCTGTAAGTCAAATGGTACAATCATCTTTAAGTCGCCCCGGAGTGCCACGGCAAATAATAATAGCCGTCCCTTCTCCTACAAAAGTTTTTTGATTTTGGTAAAAAATAAACGTTGGATAAATACCATACTTTTAAGACTGCATTTCTCCTTCTTTTTTTAACTGTTTCTTTCATTTTAGGTTAAGAAATTGTTTTAATGTTCCATATTAAACTACAGTATTTCAATTTTGGTCTAACATAAGAATTAAGAAGTAAAATAGTTATCTGATAAGTAAAGTCAAAAGTCATGACAGTCGATACTGGCCTCTAGGCAGAAAATGAAAAATCTCATTAAAAAAAATGTAATCTACAAAGTCATTTATCACAAAGATTTATTGTCATCATCAGACTTAAAAATTGGGATCACAAAGTAAGGTTGCAAAAATTAATATTTTAGAAATTTTCTGTTGCGATGTCGTAGTTAAAAACACTTTTGTTTTTAACTGAGCTCAACTAAACCAAAGGAACTTACGAATAAAGTAAAAATGTAAAAATGGGATTGAGAAGTGGATAGAGGTAAAATTTGTGAAGGGGATTGAGGTGAAGAAAGGAAAAATTACTTTTAAAGGATTGTCACATTAGAACAGCCTTAATACAGCTAGCTCAGTCAAAAATTATGTGAACAATGATAGACGCTCCATGGTTTATCACAAACCAGAAGAGATCCATCAATACATTCGTATAGCAACAGTACAAGAAATGGTCCAGCTGAGAATCCAAAAGCATCACCAAAGACTGAAGTCATACACTAACCTACTACTTAAACAACTACTGATAGAATAAAATCACAGAATATTTATACCAAATTTGCCAATAGACCTTAGGCATTGTGAGATCTTCTCACTGGAGAAGTCTCATCGTGATATTCATAGGACTTTCATGCTAGCCCCTTGTCAGCAAAATAAAGTACATAATTGTAAATCTGATTGTTATTAAATAAATAATATATTTATATATGAAAAAAGCTTGTCTGGCTCACAAAAGAACAAGCTGGAAAGTTAAGAAAAATACAAATCAGAGAAGTATCTCTAGAGGCAATACCTATATGCATATAGATTGCCGAATGAAGAAATATGTTTGAAGTGATATTTTCAATAAAATGAGCCCCAATAATTGGATGTTCTCTGTATTCTTGTTCTTATTAGTTAGTTTTATGACCTTAGCTATTAAACCTAATAATCGTGAATTCCGCCAAATATATAAAGAGTATATAAAAAACGGTTTATAATACCTATATAATCGAACATGCAACGAAACGCATTAAAAAATTTAATTTAGAACTCGATGGGAATTGGTTCAATGAATAGAGTAAATAATTGGACGGTTCTGCTATTTAAGAATTTCTGATACTCTGCTCGTCCATCTAATACGATAGTGTTGAAGGAAAGTTTATATTATAGTCGTTACCTACTGTTAGAACTGGACAAAAATTCAACTCTATCAAAGTTCCAACTTATTTATTACTAAAAACCATTCTATAAACTTGTAAACTTGTCAAGACAAATGAGAATTTCTTTTATTATCGTGAAAAAAAAAAGGGCCAATAAAATTTAATGAGCTGTATTCCGATTTCTACCGCGAGAAACTTCCACGCTTTATTTCTCAAATAGCCTCCCTAATATCCGAGCAGCTAACCGAAAAACTTTTTAATATCGAATAGTGTTGTTATTTTTTACGATACATCGTAATAAATAGGCGCAGGAAGACGTATAGGGGTTGGAAAGTCATGAAAATTTGAATAACTGATTACCCGTATTCCCCGCCCGACGCGCGCGGCGAATATAAGATCATTATTATTACGGAGTATCAGATCCGTAAAACAATGTCTGGGTTTGAATTAAAAATCAAAATATATTGCCCCAACATATATCCCTTACTTCCCAGTTTAATAATAAACTCATCCTCAGTGGCGTACCATTTCACAAAATTTAGTGACTATTAAACTGAATATAATATTCTTCCTTATTATAAAATGATTAATAGTGTCAGAAGTTTGACGCCAAAGAACAGTGAATGGATTGGAGGGTTTTAAATTATCTAAATTACTTAAAATACCCTGGATAAAATTAAAACTAATGAAGAAATTTTAAAATGAAAAACAAAGAAAGTTGACTAACCATATCAAACTAAAGAAACAGCTTGCCTGGTTTACACAATGAGCAATCTGAAATATAAAATGCTCCAATTAATCGCTAACAGTACAATATCAGAATAAGATTAATACGCCATAATAGAGCTCCATAGAATTTGATAGCAAATTTATTATCGGAAGATATCGAGAAGAAAATAAATATTAATGGTTGTAAACATCCAATTGTAGATAACACACACTAAGAAAAGAAGATTAGGTCTATGTTTGGATTATCTTTTAACCTTTTCTATTGAGGGTAGTTAGTCCACCCATAGTTTGTTCTTTCTGACCTGCATCCTTCCCACATCTGAGATTCTATTCATTATTTTTCCTATTTCATTTTTATCTTACCCATTTGGTTTTCATTGTCATTCAAATTATTAACTAACATAATTTACATGATAGCTGGGCGGCCAGCTACTTATCTATGTCTAAGACAGACTACCTGAAAGTCTAATTGGTTAAGTGTCATATTTATAATTCATTCGTTAAATCTGTTCAAACCTATTCAAACCAATATATCCTTTAAATTGTATTGATTAAGGGCCGATTCCACCGTTGGTTAAACGAAGTTTAAATTACCACACCAATATTAAAATGACACTGTTAATATAAAAAACACAATGGTGGAATCGGCCCTAAGAATGCTTTGGTTTTTACTCGGACTGAGGGTATTCGATCATAATTTTAAAACACTAATTTTGCGCAAGTTGAATATTCGTCGCACTTTCATTGGAATGAAAGATAATGTCGGGTGGTACTGGTACTACTCCCGTCGCCACTCTATGTCTAGCTGTCTTCTTCCTACAGTATATGCTCTACCTCCTTTTCGATGAAATTGACGAGTTCTATAGTAATTCTACTCTACTGTTAGAAGGTCTATAAAAAATTTTAATCTTAACTTTCTTTTGGATGATTCTTTGTATTTTGCTTTTACGAGTGTACTCATCAATGTAGTCACTATAACAGATAATGAATAAGAGAAAATTAGGAAAACAGTCAAAGAAAGCGATACATTGGGGACACTGAAGAGAATAAATTCAAAAAAGTTAAAATCATCAGAAGATTTGTATGAAAGAAGAACAAATCAGAAATTAAGTGATTTGTAAAGTAGGTATAATAATTTAGATAGCGAACAAAGCACAAGGTCACATAGTAGAATGACATCATAGACATAAATAGCGCAAATGAAGGCCAATAAAATAGAGCAACTTTGAAAAAGAGATAATAATATATAAATAGTATTCAGAAAGGTTGCACAATATATACATTTCTAATGTATGAAAATCTAGAATTTTCTGTAATGTATGAAGTTATCAGGTAGGTAATGATAAAAAAAATTATTAAAATTAAAAACCTACGCCTCGACGCCCATGGAATCCTTAAACCACCTCGGCTGGTGTGGATAAAGCTCCTACAACGCTATTGTTTTTATAATAACATTGAGATATTACCCTATGCGGTATAGAAAGGTGGCTATGAACATATTTCACATAATAAGAAGGCGTTGGGATGCGCGAAAAATTGAACATCACCCCTCTTTTTCTTTTCCCGAATAATGAGATGGCCATGGAAATACGTTCGTAACAGTCGAATAACGCTGCCTTATTATTACGCCTTTTTACATTCGAATGTCTTTCGAACCCGTAAATAACCAAGGAATCGTTTTATTTATGAACCGCTTTTTCGCAGTGGGTGGTGTTCAACTCCATCTTTACGCAACCGGGGAAGTTAAAGCTACCTGCATTACCGATTTCTGTGAACGGTTATTCGCATTTAAATTATACACTACAGTTTGTCTTGTAATCCAGAACTTTGTGCATTTTTAAAGATGATCAATTATTGATAGATAGTGCTTTGTATATTTTGTCCAAAAATCAAAACACAAGTTATAATCGATGTAACAATCTTAAATAGTTGTGCTTACAAGAAAATAATAAAATCTGCTTGGAACTAAGGCATTCAACTTTGGGTTGTGCGAGTATGAGCAACATTTAAATTATCCAATCCCTTTACGTATTAAAGTATTTAGGAAAATCACGAGAGAATGGATATTATCATTGACCAGACTATTATCAGATTTATCAGCAGTCATGAAGAACGACTTACCTACTCGTATATTAGTAAATAAGCCGTCTGGGGTATTCTATAATAAAAAAAAAGTATTACTATCAATATTTCTATTTTATCTTTTATCTTCTTCTTTTTTAGTTATTTTTTTTAGTCTAGTTTTAATCTCAAAGGTATTCGGTAAATGTTTTGTGCTGTGCTTTTAAATTGAACTTTCCTTGCACTCAAAAACCAGCATTGACTGTCAATCAATTATACTCACTAAATCTTAATGATGCACATTGATTTCGATGCGACACATTAGTTTTTCCAAAAGGGGAGATTCCACCTCTTAGCCTAATGCAATTATCGTATAGCAAACGTCCATTAAAACAATTGAATTCGAGATAATACAGTTAATAGTTAAAACCCTATATTGAAAATTGGATATTCGGGACAAAACTGTAAGTTTTAGTTTAGCGATTCATTCTATTAGGCAGGCTTTTCCTTTAAAGCTGTAACAAAATTATGTATTCCATCTCTTTCATCCTCGTCTGTGTTAGTCCGGACGATGTTACTCAAAAACTATATGCACGAAAGTTTTAAATTTTCTTTTGGTTGCTTCCATACAGAGTACCAGGGATAACTCACAGAGCAGAAATGCTTTTTCAAACAATAAATAAATTGTTTGATTATCAAAATTCTCACAAATATAGAAAACAGATTTTGTGTCCAAAATAAAATTTTGTCACTTTTCCTCAAATTTCTCCATTACGGTCGAATTTAGAAAAATCATTTGTAACAAAAATTATAAAGATTGTCATTACAAACAACTCGGGTTAAATGAATTTTCTTCTTTAATCATATACTCGTATAACAGAAATATATCTTAAAGTAGTAAAAGGACCCACTGTGAATTACTCCCTAGATGCTCTGACTATATCCAAAATATAATTAGCTTATCACAGGATGGATTTATTCTTAAATTTCAAGTTTAATTTTTATCCCTATTTGAGATATCGTGGGTAAAGACATACACAGACAGACATCATGGCCAAAATAGTCAAAACGAATTCAGAGAACGCCAGAACATAAATATTCGTAGAAAACTCGAGGTCGAAAAAAAATCATAATTACATATTCTTTCCTCGTTCGTCACAAGAATGTAAAAAATTTGTACAATTTTCAGTAGTTCATATAAAAATCGAGAGTTATTTGTTTTTCTTTTTGTCGAATGGTTATATGGCAGCATAATAATAAAGATTGGATTTGGATTTTTATAGGGTATTTTGTAAATTTTAAAAATATTCATGAAATTATTAGTATTTTCACCCAATTAAAAAAATGTTAGGCACGTAGAATTTTTAAAATAGTTAAGCCGTTGATCAAAAAATCTGGAAAAAATTACATGAATAAAAAATGTTAGGATATTTTTTGTCATTGATGCAACTAGCGAGGCTATTAATATAAAATAATTGTTTGTCCTCGTCACACATTTCCCGGACTATAATTATGTTGCAGGATGAGAGAAAGGATATAAAGGACGAGTATATAACGCACAGTGTTCAGCCTTCCCGTGCGGCGTCTGACTGTTGGAGTTATTCTAACTCTTAATTTCATTAATCCCCATGTTGTGCTGGAGAAATGCGCGTTGCCAGGGTACTTTTCTCACTTGTTTTTGATTTATATGGTCTGAAGCTTTATTTCTTTAAGGTATTACCTACATCGAATTTAAGCATCAGGTAATTACTGAAAAATTATGTAAATAAAAGATTTCTGAAAGTTCAAGGGTAATACCGTAGAGAAGTAATATATCTTTTAAATAATAGGTGCGTTTCTTTTTCCCTGAAATATTTACTTAAGAGGATCTAGTTCAGAAGGTTTCAAATTTTTATAGAGTTGATCCATGAAGCATTATAGTAACTTAAAATATGATTGAAACAAGTTTGTTTTCAAGTAAAATTGAGTATTACTACTGTGCTGTAAGCTGAAAGAACTAATTGCTGGTTTAATAAATGGTCTTAAAATCACACATGACGTTGAGTACATTATTCGGTCTAGCAACTTTGGCAATGGTTTTGATTTGGCTAGACAGAGGACTTTTGAAAGTGTGATCGATGATATTGTCAGTAAGAAAGCAGAAAAAAGTTAATTATAGTCTTTGTGTTTTGTATTATTTAAAATTACTTATATAGATATCTACACAATCGAAAGTGATAGAATCCTGGACTGACAAGATTTTTATTTGCTTAATTTTTATTTCATCAAAATCTTTTGACAATTTCTTTAGCCCTTTCCATTTGTCTATTGGTCTACTTTACATTTATTGTACAAATACCGTTTTTTCTCAAGCAACACAACCATTAAATTCAAAGCTTTCTATAATAATATCGTCATTATTACCAATTATAATACCCATAACTGACATCACATACATATAAAATATAATCATGATAAAATCACTGTTTCCTATTCAAACCACGTATACATTTCATTGCACAAACATCTCGATTTCTTAGAACAATAATAATTCTTCTGAAAAAAATTTATATAAATTGTTGCAAAATGTAGGTCATATAAAACGCAGATACATACCAGTAATAAATTTACCGATTTTTTTATATAATCGCATAATCCGATATTCTAAACGTGGAATAACCATCAACATTTCAGTTATTATCGTTATTTGTAGAGAGAAATTTGTATCTGGTAGTGGCTAGGCGTATATTTTGCCAGACACGGTATTTTCTGTGGTGATTTCTTGTTACGTTACATATTCAAATTGTACCTGTTTGACCCTTTTATTTTTTGATTCCTTCTTGTCTGGTCAACTAATAAGATACCTAATTATGATGCTACTGATACCCAATTATGTTAACATCTGTATACAATTTATACGGATTTCCGATGCTAAAATCAAAAGTAAGGCAATGAACAGCTAAATTCTTCATAAAGTTACTTTTTAGGCGATTGTCATAAAAACTGATATTTTAAATATTTAATAACATCGCTTAAGTATCACCTTTTTGACCGCATTTACTTTACGGCCGTTTTAAAGTGTCACTTTTTTGGCCGTCTTTTATAAACAAGTTTTTCATACTTATCGTTAGTAATTTTGTACAAATTTTATTAGTTAACGGTGGGTTTTTATTAAATAAATAAAAATTTGAAACATTGTTTGCATTTAAGCCTTATTCCAAAAACAAGAATGTAAAACAGAATAAATCAGCTTGATGAGGCAGTCAACTAAAAAATGTGTGAACCTCAACCGTTTGATCTTTTTTCACCTCACCAGAAGTTGCAAATTTTTGATTGTG